AAAGGGCACGCAAGGACACCTTCATCATTAAGAATAACACAAACAGGGCACAACAATGCTGAACCTCGGGTAAGACATGAAGTCTTACTAAGAATTTCATCCACTAAAGAGGAGATGAAATTCAATAAAAAGAGAAATTCAACCCAAAATCCATCGACTCCCAAGAGACTTTGGGAAGAAATTGGGAAATGCACCCTAAGAGATTGGCTTGGTTGACCCAACTCGGTCAAGACCTTGGGCGCATTAAAGAAGTAAGTGTTGAATCACCACGGGAAATTCCCTCAAGAAAGAAGAGAAGGATGAAACCTTAGCCTGGGAAGCAAGGTCTAACAAGGATCTTAAAGTCAAGCAAACACCAACACCAAGGAAGGAGGATCATCAGCTCGTCGGCGCATCGTGATCAAAGCATCTAACCAGATTATTCACTTGGGATCGAGAAACCTTAACCCATCCTAGCCGAATTCCTTTCCCTCCCTTGGAAAATCGGCCCCTTCCTTATTTCAAAACCCTTTCTACCCTTCAGACCCCATTCTCAATCCCATGTTTTAACGATTCCATACAAGTGGCAACCTCACACCCTAAGTTGCAATCTCGAAAACTTGATCCTAATTCCTGAATTCACCGTGTCTTCAAGTTTGAAACCCACTCTCTTAAACCTGTAAAACCTAATCGCTCCCAAAAACCCAACACACATAGGCGTGCAAGTATACAATTTCCCCGTGGAATACCTTCTCTATAGGACCACGGTTCTTCTCTTGACTCGTTAACCCTGCAATGATTTCCAAGCTTCGGGGACGAAGCTTCTCGTAAGGGGGGAGAGTGTAACACCCCGTGTTACGGCCTTCAATCCCGGATTAATTATTAAATTAATCCCGTTAATAATAATTAAATATGATTTAATTCGGTTAGGTTTCCTTTAATTAATTAATAAAGGTCCACCATGAACCGTGGACCCTTGCCTAAATTAGAGTCCTAAGCCTATTAGGAATAAAGAAAGTAAACCCTTTACTATTCAGATTCTAATTAGGAATCCTAGACCTAGTTATCTATTAGGAATAAAGGAAGTAGGCCTTTTACTATTCAGACTACGATTAGGATTCCCTTTAATTAATTAATATGGTCCACTATGGACCATGGACCCTTATCCCTAAACCCAATCCTTAGTTCCAAAAGGAATAGAATTAGCAAGCCTATAATATTAGTTCCTAATTAGGACTCCTAAATATATAAATAAGGGACTTAGGAGACACCTAGAACTGCCCACACGCCAAAACGCCCCATCACCCCAGGAGAGCTCCAAGAATTCCCTTAGAAGAAATCAAGAAAGCAAGAAAGCTTAAAGAAAGATCCTTCATAGCCAAGGAATTATTTAAGGCTAAGAGGTAACCCATGTCTCAACAAAACCTATTTTCATAGCTATGATTTCCCCTTAGGGTTTCCCCCATATTATTGTGAATGGCGAGATTATGGTGATTATTATTGATGTTGATTTGATGATTCCATGGGGAATCTTGATAATCTTGATAATTGGGAGTTTCTTGATAATGATGAAGTTCCTGATGATTATGTGTTGTTCTTGATAATTGTGTGATGTTCCTGATGCTAATGTGTTATTCTTACCGAATCTTGCAATTAGAAGACGAATCGTATTCTTGTTGATATAAAAGTGATTAGAACCCTAGGTTGTATCGTATGATATTATTCTTGGATTATCGGGTGGGGAAATCGCATGTTTGGGCGTTGATTATGTTTAGAAAAGCATGATAGGTTAGGTGCCGTTCGTTTCTCGTATTTGATCCGTTAATTGTCTACGTGTTGTCGTTAATTGCGTTGTAAAGTGTCTAAGCATGGTTTCGGGTTCCACAACGGTTCCCGGGGTGAAAAGTGATGAAAAGAGTCAGTGGGGGTAGGTGGGGGTAGGGGACCCGCCACCTACCCGTGGCAACTTCGGCCAGTTCCGGCAGCGGGCAGCCGGCGGGCGGGCAGCTGCCCGCCGGGCACCCGCTGCCCGGAACAGTGTTACCGGCGGGCAGCCGGCGGGTGGACCCCCACCCACCGGCTACCCGCTGGAATTTTCCCCCCCCTCGGGACCCCGGCTTCCCCGTTTGATGTTTCCCCGATCCCCGTGGTGTCCCAACGGACCCCGTTTGTCGTGCCTATGTATAGTTTGATATTTCGGGTACCGTTCGTAGGTTTATGAGTCTATTATATTGCATGCTAGTTGAATTGGTATCCCGTTGACCTAGGTGGAAGAAGTATGAACCCCTTAGGACTATTCTTAGTACGTGATGGATCACGCATAAGGTTGTTATACGCTTTATCCCCCTTCCCAATGTGTAATGTGGGTTGCATGTGCTTGCTATGTGTTATGTGTGCGTGTTGCCCCAATTCGGTTGCGATCGGATTGATTATCCTGAGCTGCGGTTCAGAAGCCGGCTACAGTCAGATGGGAATTCCTGGCTGCAGTCGGATGACGGTATCCTGGGCTGCGGTCCAGAAGCTGGTTGTAGTCAGATGGGAATTCCTGGCTGCAATCAGATGACATTTTCCTGAGCTGCGGTTCAGAGGCTGGCTGTAGTCAGATGGGAATTCCTGGCTACAGTCAGATGACACACTCTCTTGGGCTGCGGTCCACTGTTTGGTTGCGATCAAACATTATGATGAGCTGCGGTTCATCGGTCGGTTGCGATCGACCTCCCCGTGTTGCGATACGGGGCATGGTGCTGTGGGGCCGTGTCAGAGCTATATGCGCTGACCCGCATGTATGGGCATGCGAGTGGTCCTGTGGCGCCAACAACGTGCGTTATGTGTTGTGATACGGACGAGTTGTGACTACGAGTGCCTTGGGACGTGACTTTGGGTTTCATATTGGGGATTGTTTATGATGGGTTATGATTACTGCTTATACCTTGCCTTATTTGCCTTATCTGTTATGAACTGCTTATGACTATTATAACTGTTGCTTGTGTCTGGCCTTATCTGTCGAGTCATTCCCGGTTTTAAAGCTAGAGTTCGTAGGATATATCTTCATGCTCAAAATGGTTTTCGTATATCTATACATATCTCTATATGTATTGTATTTCAACGCGTTGGAGTGGGTTACCAGCATCTCTCGCTGAACAGATATATTTGGCTTTCAGGCACAGAAGATTAAGTCACTGGAGTGCGCTAGAACTTAGAAGTAGACAGTTTCCCTTTTGGCCTGCGTGCCACGTTTACGTATTTACGCTTTGAGGATATTAGTTAGTTAGCCTGTGCACTTGGGTTCTCTAGCCCAGGTGTGGCATAGCACCCCGAACGCTTGTATTTATATCTTGGGATTTAATAAGATTCTACCTTTATTATAAGTTTTAAATGTCTTGAAAATCTGGGGTGTTACATTGTTCATCCGAACCTTGTGTCATACGTCGTAGACGCATAGTAAGTGGCACAGGTGGAGCTGGTGGCTTTCTGCGACGACCCCTGGCCGGTGCCCTAATAGCCAATGAAGCGGGTTCAGCAGCTAACGGTGCAGGCTCACTAGCCAAGGGTATTGGCTCCGGCTCAACAGATGGTGTAACCACATCCGGGGGTGGTATTGGTTGCGGCACTAAGGGGCCGGCCGCCCAGGGTGCCGAGGGTGCGGCTTGTTGCGGTGTGTGCTGCACAACTGTTTCTGAAAAAGGGAAAGTAGTTTCGTCAAACCGGACATGACGACAGATATAGATTTTTCCAGTTGTTAAGTCCATGCATCTATATCCCCTATAGGACGGTGGGTAACCTAAGAAGACACATGGGGCGGATCGATACTCTATCTTATGGCGGTTATACGGCCGTAGATAGGGATAGCACCGACACCCGAAGACTCGTAGGAATGTGTATGGTGGGGACATATTAAAGAGACGCGAGTATGGACTCTGGAATTGTAGAACGGTGGAAGGCATGTAATTTATCAAAGTGGTGGCAGTTTCAAAAGCATAGTCCCAATACTGCAGTAGGACTTTACTTTCAGCGAGTAGAGCTAATCCAGTTCCGACAATGTGTCTATTCCGGCGCTCTACCCTTCCATTTTGTTTGTGCATGTAAGCACATGATTGTCTATGGTTTATACCTAGGGATTGAAACGTGTTATGGAGTTTTCGATATTCGCCCCCTAGGTCGGATTGAATTGATTTGATAGAACGCGAGAATTGTCGTTCTACCATGACTCGAAACGACTCAAAACATTTGTATACATCCGTCTTTACCCGTAAAGGATAAAACCAGGTAAAGCGGGAATAATCGTCTACAAATAAGAGGAAATATCGAAAGTCGGTACTAGAAATAATGGGAGATGGTCCCCAAACATCTATGTAATGTAAATCTAATACATTTGCACTACTTGAATTGACCCTATCTAACGGAAATCGGCAAGATTTTCCGAGGTGACACGCGGTGCAAACGCCCATTGATTTTGATTTATTGTCAACCGGACATGTTTGAAGAATTTTATTTAGGACCCGATTATGTGGGTGGCCAAGTCTGCGGTGCTACATGGCTGGAGTGGTTCGGGAACTTAGGAATGCGAAACGTGACCGAGACAACGGAAGTGTGTATAGCCCTCCAGAAGTGGGCCCTTTAAGCAGGGTTGCCCTGGTTATTGAATCCTTCACAAAAAATAAAAAAATAAAAAAAAATAAAAAATAAAAATAAAAAAAAAAACAATCTTTGTGAAATTCAAAAAACACATTATTCTCGTCAGTAAATCTTTGAACCGAAAGTAATGGGACAGACAATTCAGGAACATGTAATATATTAGACAATTTAAGAGATTTAGACATGGATAGAATAGATGCAGAACCAACGCGTGAAATAACCAAACCTGCGTCATTGCCGACTCGCAAAACGTCGCTGCCATTGTACTCATCAGACTGGGACATCATTGACGCATCGGGCGAGGCATGGGCAGATGCTCCGGTATCCGGGAACCAATTGCCAACCACGCTGGTCGTGGATTCATCTCCGGCGACCGTGAGATTCGCCTAGGCAGGTGGCGGTGCATTGTACCGTTTGAAGCAATGAACAGCAGTGTGGCCGATGGCGCGGCAGATCTGGCACCTCGGCGGATTTCCACGACCATTGCGGCCGCCACGTCCATTCCCGCCACGAACTCCACGACCACGTCCACCACGAGAATTCGCCTCGCCATTCCCGCGTCCGCCACGAGCAGTGTACAGACCGGAATGCGACACTCCAGAAGCCGGCGCCGGGTAATCATCTGCAAGTATAAACTCTTGCGCCTGTAGAAAATCGGATAGCTGGGGGATGGTTATCGGATTACCTGAAACCGTTAACGAAGCTGCCATAGCCCTGAACTCCGGGCGTAGACCTCGGAAAACGAACAAATTCTGTTCGTCTAACGACACCGGTCGGCCGGCGAGCGCCAGGTCTTCGACCAGAAGCTGCGCACGTCCCAGAAACTCTGCCGGCGAACTGTTGCCTTGACGCAACGACTGGAACTGCCCGAGTAAATTCAGGCAACGGGCACGCGTCGACGATCCGAGGGCGGCGGTGATGGATTGCCATACTTCCCGCGACGTGTTCCGACCAACGGCCAAGTACATCACCTCTTCTGACAATGATGAAATCAGAAGAGAGGGGATGGACTGGTCTTGCTACATCCACAACCGGTACGCTGGATTCGCCTGAGGCACGGCAGTGGAGGCTCTGGAGTCGTCAGTCGGCGGAAGGTCGATCATCGGCGTCGGGCAGGGAGTTTCTCTGTCTACGTAACTGAGCAAGCCCTGTCCCCGGAGAAAGGGCACGAGCTGTGTGCGCCAAAAAAGGAAATTCTGTGAGGTGAGTTTGATTGAAACAAAGTGGTGGGTTGTGGCTAGGGTGTTTGGGGTGGTGGCCGGCGGTGGTGCGCCGGCGGTAACAGTCCTCTCAGAGGAGTTTGTCGACATCGAGAGATGAGAGACGGTCGACGATCGATGATAGGGAGGGAGAGAAAGGTGGAGGATCTAACCTACGGCTTAGCTGATACCAGATGAAATGCGATTCAATTCCAAAACAGTTACAGAGAGAGACTAATACTAAACATAAATGCTACACGTAAAAGTCTCCTGACTAATAAACTATTCTAAGCTGACTAGTCTATCACCACATATTAAATAACTTATTACAAGAGGAATATAAAATAATATTAAACATATTATTCACACCCCAAAGTCCATATGTCGGAGACTATTAAGCAATTCAGGCTCATAAGTTTGTGTAATGTTTATTATAAATTGATAACCAAGACGATAACTAATCGTCTCAAATTTGTTCTTCCAGGGCTCGTTGGACCTTGCCAAAGCTCATTCGTGCCAGGGAGGCAAATCACGGATAATATGATTGTCTACCAGGAGGTCATGCACACTATGCGGTCAAAGAAGGGGAATACGGGCATGATGGCTATCAAGCCGTCCTCAGCGCCATGCCTATGTACACCATGCAATCTATGTGGCTGCTGAGGGGGGTCTGCGACGAATTAGAGAAAACCATTCGCAGGTTCATATGGGGCGGCGCGGAGGCTACCAGAACTTTGAGCCTTGTCAAATGGGAGAAAGTCACGCAAGCCAAGCAAGATGGCGGTTTGGGGTTTCGTAAACTCCATGACGTTAACTTGGCCTTCATGGAGAAGCTACGATGGTGCATGTTAATTGAACTTAGTAGTGTATGGGTTCAGGTTTTGAGAAGCAAGTATAGATGGACTGAGGACGGCAACGGCACAGCGACGGGTAGACGGTTGTCCAATGTGTGGAGGGGTATCCAAGGTGCATCCTACGTCATGGAACGAGGCATCATCAGAGTAATTCGTAATGGTCGGAACACGAAGTTTTGGTTGGATACTTGGGTGACTGACCATAGGCTCTACGACCACGCGTGCAGACATCTTCCCCTAACGGAGCTCTACACGCATGTTGCCGACTACTGGATTACTGGAACCGGATGGAATTGGGAGCTGCTTAACGGGGCCCTTCCAACTGAGTGGAGAGCGAGGATCAATGCCTTTGTAGTGATTGAGGACGACGAGGAAAAGGACACTTGGGGGTGGAGCAGAGAGCTGAACGGGGCTTTCTCTATCAAGTCAGCCTATGAAATCATCAAGGGAGAACAGCCGGGAATGGGCGATCGCGACTGGAAGAGTCTGTGGACTATCAAGATCCCTAGTCGAATGGTCCTTTTTTTTGTGGCTTGTCAAACATGGCAAAGTGATGTCTAACGTGGAACGGTGTAAGAGGCATTTTCCCGTTGATAACTCGTGTTCTCTTTGTGCAGGTACTCCGGAGACGCTTCATCACATCTTCCGTGACTGTCCAGAGAACAACGGGCTTTGGGAGTCGCTTCTCCCCGCAGCGACAGTGCAGTTGCTCAGCAATCTCGATTGGGCAGGTTGGCTTGCTACGAACCTGAAGGCTACTCGCCTGGGTTTCCCAGAAGGTTGGCAAGCGACTTTTGGGATTGCTCTTTGGTGGTGTTGGAGATGGAGCAATTCTAGGGCCTTCGAAGGCAAAGTTGTCAGCATGGCCTTTTGCCGCCAGTGGATTCGAGATTAGTGTGATGAGGTGCAGGCTACGTTCAGAAACAGATGGTCACCCGCGGCCTTACGAACAGGGATAGGCGAAAGGCTCTCGGCTTGGGAGAAGCCACGTACAGGGTGGATTAAGCTGAATATTGATGGCTGTTGTAAAGGAGCCTCCAGGAGAGCTGGTTGTGGGGGAGTCCTCCGAGATAGCCATGGGACCTGGCTTTGTGGTTACTCTCACAACATTGGTTCGTGCTCGGCCGGGGAAGCTGAAGCTTGGGCAGTCTTGGAGGGGCTTCGCATGGCAGCGTCGTATGGTGTTCGGCGGCTGGTTGTAGAGAGTGATTCGATTGGAATAATTCGCGATCTCCGAAGGGCTGATCAAGAGGCAGGTAGAGGAACGAGCGTTGTGAGAACATGTGTTCGTGAGTGCAGAAACTTTGAGGAAGTGGAGTTCAGCTGTATTCTTCGTGAACAGAATCGTGTTGCGGATTGGTTAGCCACCTCCGCACTGGCCCACACGATGGGTAATCGGAGTATTGAGTCTCCTCCAATTCCAGTGCAAACCCTGCTGTGGGAGGATAAGAATGGTGCTTGTTGTCATCGTGGAGTGAATCAATAGCGTTCCACAAGGGAGTTTTTCCCTCATCTCTAACCCAAAAAAAAAAATAATAATAATAAAAAAAAAAATCCATTATTAGCTAAAAAGGGGTCCACCATAGTCCATGGACCCTTATCCCTAAAACCAACCCCTTAGTCCTATAAGGAATAGAATTGGAAAGCCCATACCATTTAGACCCTAATTAGGACTCCTAGATATATAAATAAGGGCATAGGAGGCACCTAGAACCCACACCACAATAACTTTCACCACACAAGAATTCCCATAGGAGAAATCAAGAAAGAAGAAATCTTAAAGAAAGACCCTTCATAGCTAAGGAATTTAATTAAGGCTAAGAGGTAGCCCATGTCTCAACAAAACCTATTTTCTTTGCTATAATCCTCTTCTTTAGCTTCATCTATATGCTTGTGTCCTGATATGATAATTGTGGTGTGAATTGATGATTGATGAGGTGATTTTATGTGTGATCTTAATAAACTTGATGATGATAAGAGGATCTTGATGATTGTGTGATATTCTTGATAAGTCTTGATGTTTCTTGATTTTAAAGATAAACTATGATCTTGTTAATTAAAATATGATTAGAGCCCTAGGTTGAATCATGAATTTCGTATTGGGATTTTCTTGGTATATTTGGGTGGGAATTCACATGTTCGGGTGTTGATTATGTTTAGAAGTCATGATAGGTTGTGTTCTACGTGATTGTTGCTTTTGATCCCTTAATTGCCAACGTGGTGTCATTATTTGCGTTTAAAAGTGTCTAAGCATGGTTTCGGGTTCCACAAAGGATCCCGGGACGTTTATTTTGATTAAGAGTCAGTGGGGGTAGGTGGGGGTATGGGGACCCGCCACCTACCCGCTGCCCAAAGAGACGCCACCGGCAGCGGGCAGGCGACTGCCCGCCGGGCACCCGCTGCCCGGAAGTTTGTCGCCGGAGGGTGGCTCTCCACCCACCGGCTACCGGCTGGTCATTGCCCACTTCGGGAATTTGGCTTCCCCGTTTGATGTTCCCCAACCCCCGTGGTGTCCCAACGGACACCATTTGTCGTGCATGAATCTAGTTTGATGTTTCGGGTACCATTCGTAGGTTAAAAGAGTCTTATGTATTGCATGCTAGTTGAATCGGTAACCCGTTTGCCTAGGAGGAAGATGCATGAACCCCTTAGGACTATTCTTAGTATGTGGATGCTCACGCATAAGTTTATTTATACGTTTTCCCCCTTCCCAATGTGCTAATGTGTGCAACTATGTTTTATGTGAGCATGATACCCCAATTTGGTTGCGATCAAATTGGTTATTCCTGAGCTGCACTTCAGGAGTTGGCTGCGGTCAAATTGGTTACTCATGAGTTGCGGTTCATTCTCCTGGCTGCGGTCAGTGATTCACTTCTTGGGCTACGGTCCACATGGGCCTCGTGTGCTATGGTCCACCGACCGGACGCGCCAGGCGGTGTGTAGGGCCACTAGCCCGAGGAAGGCCATAGCCCACCGAATGAGTGATCAGGCGGTGTGTAGGGCTATGATCGGCTGCGATCCACCGAGTGTACGTGCCAGCGGTGTGTAGGGTCGTAGTCTCCGAAGATCATCGCCCACCAAATGAGTCCCTCAGGCGGTGTGTAGGGCTTTGATCTACTACGACCCACCGACTGAGCTCGTCAAGCGGTGTGTAGGGTCGTAGTCCCCAAAAGAGGATCACAGTCCACCGACTGAGCGTGTCAGCGGTGTGTAGGGCTGTGATCCGCCGTTGAAACTATCGACGGTCTATACGGTTGGTTGCGATCAACCCCATCATACTGCGGTATGAGGTAGGGTGTTGTGGGGCCGTGTTAGAGCTATATGCGCTAACCCTCATGTTCGGGGGATGCGATTGGTCCCGTGGCGCCACCAAAGTGTGCTTGTGTGACATGAATATGAATTGAATGATGATGTGAATGATTTGAAAGTGAACGGTGACCTTAGATACATGTTCTTTATGATATTATCTCTATATGACTGATTATCTTTGTTTAATGTGCTTATCCCTACCTGTTGAGTCTATTCCTGGTTTTAAAGCTAGAGTCCCCTAAGTATATATCTTCCTGCTTCAAAATGGTTTTCATATATCTATATATATATTTACCTATATTGTATTTCAACGCGTTGGAGTGGGTTACCAGCATCATTCGCTAAACAGATATATTTGGCTTTCAGGCACAGATGAGTAGACCTCGGAGCGCGCTAGAGATCCGAAGTGTAGATTAGTTAGTTCCCTTTCGGCCTGCGTGCCATGATGATGTATTGACATTGCTTTGAGGATATTTAGTTAGTTAGCCTGTGCATCTGAGTTTTCCAGCTCGGATGTGGCATAGCACCCCGCACTCTTATGTTTAGTAAATACTCCGTTTGGGATTTAATGAGAATTTACCTTTATTATATAAGTTTTAAAAGTAT